TATCCACTGTTCAACAGTTGGTATTTCAGGTTTATAATTGCTCATTTTAAATCACAATATTCATCTAAAATGACTTAAAAGAAACAAAGTCGCTGACTTCCACATTATAACAAGCCATACCGGCTTGTCAAAGCCTGATCCCGTCAGATCTCAGAAGCTAAGCAAGGTCGGGCCTGGTCAGTACTTGGATGGGAGACCACTGGGAAAATCAGGTGCCACAGTGGGACACCAGTCACAAAAACTGTTGTTGTGTCCTTAGGCAAGACACTTCACCCACATTGCCTAGTATGAAAGTGGTGTGTGCGTGAGTGATTGTGGTGGTTGAAGGGGCCGATGGCGCAGATTGGCATGGCACCTGTGCTTCTGTCAGTCTGCCCCAGGGCAGCTGTGGCTACAATAATAGCTTACCATCACTGGGTGTGGAGAAAAAAGAATAATGAATCTATAAAAAATGCTCTGTAAAGCGTCTTTGTGACATATGTCTGTGAAAAGCGCTATATAAATAAAGACTTATAAAAACACAGTGCACAGTGGGAGCTGTCGTAACAGCTCCCAAAAACAAAGAGCCGTGTAGCTGCAGGTCAAGCTAATAAGTAACAGTTTCTTTTATTTAATTATTTATACCAAACTTACTATGCCACATTGCTGAATCCTTTGTGTATCATGTCATGTTAAACATGTTAAAGATTTCTTTTAACAATAATCCCCATTACTTATATAGGCTTCTGCACGCTACCTGAAATATGTCATCAAACGAATCGAAAGTGAATGCACCCAACTGATGGGTTTCAGATTCCAGTTTATAGGGGATATTTGAGGGCTATTTACCATTCAAAAGATTTTCTGAATTGTTAATTGCTATGGCAACTATCCAAATTCTTTAACATAAAGACAGACTGATCTTATCTATGGGTTGCAGAATGCTAAACTGTTGTGCTCTGAGAACAGAAAACTCACTCGGAGAGGGAGGTTGGTTGAGGTCTTGGTTGCAGTTGTATTTCTGGATCAGACTAAGGGCTCTCTGGTACTGCTCTGAGTCCTGGTCCAGCCCCAACAGGCTCACGTCATACGCATCCAGCACGATAAAGCAGAAGCCTGGGTAAGGGTTGAAGCTGTAGGCGTAGATGTCTCCTCCAGGCCGGGACACCCCCAACCTCCTCCGAACGTGCAGGGTACTGGAGACACGTGGGAAATAGTTTTGTGGTCAGTTTCAATCGTCAATGCAAGATTTCATGTGGAAACAACAAATCATCCAATCTGTACATAAATATAATTAATGACTTTATTTAATCATCCATAGAGTTATTGATAATTTCCATCTGATGTCATCAACAATCATGAGCGTGTGTCCTACAAACAGCTCTTTTAAAAATCAAATTAATAATTGGTTATGGTCAAACCAAACATGTACTCATGTATAGCTGTACTGTGATTTTAATTGATCTCCTATGGACACATATTTGCATATACTGAATGTGTCACCAACTTGACTGCAAAATAATGGGAACTGTGTAATGAGTGGAGTGACCCCAGCTCTTTGGGACAACGGATGGAAATGAGCCTTAGGCTACAATCCGGTGTGTTTACATTCATGTTGTGCCATGTTTGTTCATTAACATGCTTTATCCCAATCAAATAAATACATAAAATAAACAATCCCTGGGGTGGTGATGCTAACTATAGGCATGCTCTGTCAGAGGCTTGTTATACTTTAATCTGAGCTTTAAGTTAACACAATCTGACCAGAATGAGCAGATTTAGTTGGAACTACACCAGGTGAGCTGAATTGTGCTGTTAAACATGTCCCTCTCAAACAGCAGTTCAGTTTCTGTTAGTCACTCTCACCTTTTTGTTGAAAATCAAACATCAACACTCATATTGATTAGTTTCCTGAAAATGTGTGGTTTAAATCCATTTTGTATTTTTCTTGAGGTTTCAGATAAAACCTGTCTCTATGGTAACTGCTGAACATTCCTCTATAGACACACATGTAGAAGACTCCCAGCATGATCTGTCTGATTCATTCACTCAACAAACAAATGAACATTCTAGTTGACTCGAAAGATAAATACTTTTTTTTGGTTTGTTTGTTTGTTTGTTTTATTCCGGAAGGGATTTTTAATTTTTTTTACAGCCAATATGTCAACAAATTTAACAATTTAACTAGGGATGGGCATGATTAGTCAATTAATCGATAATTGATCATTAAGAATTTCATCGATTACGTTCATTTTAATCGACAAACCGAATGTAGGTTGCTGTGTGTAGCGTGACCAAACAGAGGTCCCTACATGTAGCTCTCTGCACTCAGAAGGAGTGAGCAGACACAAACAGTTGGTCAGCCCGCAACGTACTCAAGCACAAATGTGTATTTAACGATGACTTGTACAAGAAATTCCACGCTTTCCGTTGCGGTCGGGACAAGTGAGTCCATGTGCACAGTGTACAAAGCAGCACATATGTTTCGGTGTTCAGTGGGAAAAAGTTTTGCCAGGTGAGAGTCGCGCAATGTCGATGACGAGTCCCCACCTCCCTCCCCTCGTATGGTGTCCTGGTTTTGACAAACGCAAATATGGTCACACTAACATATAGTCCACTGAGTCATGTCTTTTAATCCAACAGAAATTGACCGCATCAGCGACACAAGAGCTGGAGTTTTATCTTCGCTTATTTTATGCAAATTAGCGATGTGGTTTTAAGTTTCGTTTCTGTGAGAGTTGCGCAAAACTGAATTAAACACATTATAATGTCAAACGGATTGATGTGGCTCTAGAGTCGTTACGGTTTATATGTTGTAAAGTTGAATTTATTTATGCAGATTAGTAGTGCAGATAGTAATAATAATGATGATCATTTTAATAAAAACGTTAATGATTAATCGATAATCGATCGTTAATTCTTCCGAATGCCCATCCCTAAATTTAACACAACAATGTAAACCAGGAGCTATCCTATCCTATTCTATTTGTGTCCCAAATATGTGCAATTTTAGCAGTTTTTTTTTACAAATAAAATACATATTGTTCTTATACGAAAGTAATACAGGTAAAATGGATGGTAAATATTTCATTTAAATTTATGAAAGTAGACTATAGAGTAGAGCCCGACCGATATATCGGTTGGCCGATATTATCGGCTGATATGTGCAACTTTAGGCATATCGGCTATCTGCCGATATGCTTGCTGATAGGGGCCGATATTTCACGTGGGCATGTTATACCTCGTTATAAAGCTTAGACTCTCTACATTCTGTTCATTTAATTCAATTTACAGACAGATAAATGTCCTAATATGTGGCTCCACATTAGTATTTATCTACGGAGTCATTTGTCTGTGTGTCCGTACTGTCCCTGAACACACCACAGAGTCGTGTCACTCACGTGTTTTTGTTTACACCTGCAGACACAGATCCAAACACTGAGATTATTTTCTTTTTACGGACAATCGGTTTGAGTCTGAATTAAAAGGACATTTATTAGTGCAGATTTGTGATGTGAGGAGGAGCCTGTGTGAGCGGTGAGTGTTGGAAATATGTCGACTCTGAAGCTAGTTTTTGTCATTTGTTATGGGTTAGCTGCTGTAGCTCCCGCACATAAACAGACTGTTTTCTATTGGTCTGTTCTAGAGTGACTATATTGGCCGTATATTTGCTACTGGACCTGCACTGATATGTAAATGAGCTGTGAATAGACGTGTGAATTATGACATTTGCGCATATAATTAATTATCGCGGCGCGCACGTATTTACGGCTTAAGGCTAATAGCGCAACTTTCTTTACTAGTTATGGGTCCGTCGCGAACGAAATGACTCTTAGAACCGGCTCTTTAAAGGGAACGACGGGAGCCTGATCCTTATTGGGAGCCGTGTTTTCTCTTTCTCTCACTTTTTTTCTCTTCACGCCGCGTGCAGACTCGTGGTAGTTTGACAGCGGCTGAAAACGAAACTTTGAGAAATTTGCGTGTACGTAGGATTAAAAAAAAAAAAAAAAAAAAAAAAAAAAAAAAAAAACGAGCATATTTGACTGTAGTTTAGCATAAAATAAATAAGTCCCGGTTTAGTCCTTTTTCAGTCCTGGTTTAGACCTGGTTCAGTCCTGATTTAGTCCTGCTTTAGACCTGCTTTAGTCCTGCTTGCAACAAAACAATCTGAAGAGCCACTTGGGAGCCAAAGGAACCAGCAGCTTTTAGTGAGCCGAGCCAAAAGAGCCGGTTCTCTAAAAAGAACTGGAATACCCATCACTAGTGTCTAGAATGTGATGCAAAAATGCCATTAAGTCAACCTACTGTCTGTAAATATGATGTAAAGAGGCAGAATAACAATAAATGTTGCCTAAATAAACCCAATTTAAAATCCACCAGAGCCAAACCTAAGTTTTTTAAACAATTCAACATTTACAGTGAATTTTTACATCACTAAATATATCGGCGATTATATCGGCTATCGGCAGCTCCAACTTCCATTTTATCGGTTTCATATTGGCCACAGGAAAATCCATATGGGTCAGGCTCTACTATAGAGTTTAAAGTGACACCTAAAAGTTTTTGGTTTTGTTTTTTTTTACCTGCAGTGTTTCATCTCAATCTCAAAAGAGTGACCTATACTACACTATGTAGCCAGTGTTCCATTGTAACAAATGTTTCAAAAGATAATCTCATAAATGACATGTCATGTCATTTATGAGAGAGGCACAGAAAGATCGGAAAGTGATTTAAAAAGGTCCTATATTACACAAAATGTATGATATAATGTTGTTCAAACATGTGTGAGTGGAACTCAACACAACTCCAGGTATGTTTTTGAAGATGTAGACAGCCTAATAATAGAGGATTTAGTGCTGTCATGCGATTAAAAAAACTGAGAGATTAATTAATTATGATATGTAATTAATCAATCTAATTAATCTCTTTTTAATCTCACCAAAAAATTGCTGAGAAAAGCCTTCAATTTGAGGTATTTTCATTTAAATTCATTATTACATTATTGTGGCAGATCAAAAGACTGATATAGAACAAAAAAAGTGACTTTATAAAGTCATTTATTGTTTAACAAACTTTAACAGATGCAGTCACTTACATTCTACAGGATCATCATTATTATTATTATTATTACTAATCTGCAGTGTTGGGAAGGTTACTTTTAAAATGTATTCCCCTACAGATTACAGATTACATATCCCAAAATGTAGTTTGTAACTTAATCCATTTAATTACTTAAAGTGAGTAACGTAATTTGAATACTTTGGATTACTTGATATTGTCATGCTTTTTAAAACTACATGAATGTAGCAACTGCATCCTGCAAATGTTGTTCTTGTTTGTTCTCTTCAAATTGGCTGTTGAGCCCAAGTCTCCATGAATAAGAAACTGTTTGCTGTAAAGTAGCAAAGACTAGGAAATATGAACATAATAACTTTTGTCTACTTAAAGACAATAAAAAGTCCAGTCTTTTCTTAACCATATTAAAAATATTATTGATAGAGAAATGCTTTATATATGAGATCACTGGTTTTAGTCCTGGTGTTAGTCCTGGTTTAGACCTGCTTTAGTCCTACTTTAGTCCTGGAATAGGTTAGTCCTGGTTTTAGTCCAGGTGTTAGTCCTGGTTTAGTCCTGGTTTTAGTCCTGGTTTTAGTCCAGGTGTTAGTCCAGGTGTTAGTCCAGGTGTTAGTCCAGGTGTTAGTCCAGGTGTTAGTCCAGGTGTTAGTCCTGGTTTAGTCCTGGTTTAGACCTGGTTTAGACCTGGTTTTAGTCCTGGTTTTAGTCCTGGTTTAGACCTGGTTTAGACCTGGTTTAGACCTGGTTTAAGTTCTGGTTTTAGTTCTGGTTTAGTTCTGGTTTTAGTTCTGGTTTAGTCCTAGTTTAGTCCTGGAATGGGTTAGTCCCGGTTTTAGTCTTGGTGTTAGTTCTGGTTTAGAGGCGCACAGGAGGAAGCGCAGTTTACGCGGCGTACGCAAGAAAACGTACGCAGCGCATGGGAGGACAGCGGCGTCCGCGCAGTAACTACGGAAGGAAACGTGGTCCGCGCGTTCTCCGGTTGATGACGATGATGAAGGTGTGTGTTTGTGTTTGTGTGTGTTTGTGTGCGTGTCCCCTCATGTGGCAGGTCACTATAGGACAGTAGTGCAGACATCATGAGCCTATGCAGGTTGTTTTCACCAGTGACATTTAAGTTGTAGGCGATTTTATATTTGTTATTTTCTTTTATATTTCACGTCGGGAGAATAATTTCCAAGACACGAATGCGTTTTTACCTGTGCACTACTGACTCTGTTCTACTGGCTCTTTCGACCTCGTCCAATTGTGTGACTGACGGCGCCAACGTTAACATGACGTTTACATCGCTCTTACTGCATGCGTTTTGTGTGGGTTTCCAGCAATGAGTGGAATAACCGAAATAAAACAATTTATAAATGTGTTTTTTTGTGTGTTGTTGTCCCAACAACACATAAAAACAGATTTTATAATAAAGCAACTCACATACATAAACAGTAAAGTTAGAGATTAAAAATGAGATTAACGCGATTAAAAAACATAACGCGCTAAATATGACTGTAATTAATTAATCGCAATTAACGCGATAATTTGACACCCCTAAGAGGATTACTCAAAGTTCCAAATACTCTGTTCCGCCTTGTGATGTTATGACACGGTAGTTGAAGTATCGTTTTAGTTGAGATTTGATCATTTCAGCCCTAGAAATTACAAATGATTCTAGTGAAAGTGTAGGAAGTTTAAAAGCAGTGGAGTATTTTCCGTATTACCACACAAGATGGAACAGAGTGTCTTCTGTTTGAGAAAAGAACTCAGCCTAAATTGTGCATTAAACATGTGTGAATGAAACAAAACACAACTCTAGGTATGTTCATGATAAGGAAACTGTATAAGAAAAGATCAGGAAATAATGTGACATAGGTTGTTTAAACAGTAATTGCAAGTTAAATTGCAATACAGTCCTGCATGGAAGTGAATATGTCTTTAAAATGCTGTCTATTCAGGAATCCAGCTGAGATTTCACGCTTGCGCCCATTAGGCAGTGTGTCAAACAGATATTGACAGGGTGAGTTTGAGCTGATGTTTTGGGCTGTTCCTGAGACAGAACAAGTAGCTCGATGGTGTGAGAGAAAACCACCAATCTTTGTACCACCCTGTACGTTACATATGTTACTGATTTCCCCAGAGTGACGTCTCATTTTTGGTGAGATGACTTCCTTAGCAACACTAGCCATATTTACAAAGGTGAAAACTTCAACAGATGGGCAGCTTCACCCAACTCATCAAATTCTCCAAAAGTAAAGCCACACATTTCTTAAATTGCGCACAACAATAAATCAAATCATCAGGAAGCAATACAAGGCTAAAGATGACTAACGGGCTGTCATAAAGGTCCCTCCTCAAGTGTTTTGATTGTATTGTATTATCAAACTACTTTTCTCTAGAAAGTGGCCATTCTTGTTGGATGTGGGAAAGCCCCTCCATTGGAATGATCATGAATGTGTAGCTTAAGGTTGCTGATTGTTGCACCTGAAGATAATTTGGTTCTGTTTAGTTTATTGTACAAATGGAGTTTAAAATGGCAAAATTGTAAATTACACCATCAATGTCAAACCTCTACTGCTGGAGCTTTGTAAAAAAGTTTCATGACTGTGTGTCATGCATTTATGAGAAGTTTAACTTCAGATGGGGTCATGCCATGCTTTGCTGTCTGTTTTCCTCATTGCCGTGGTTGCCAAGACGAGCAGCGCATCACACAAGTAGTGAATCACCGGATGATTGACCAATGAGATATATTATATAAATAAAAACAATATATATAAATATTTTTATGTTTCTCTTTTACTTTTAGCTTTTCCCATTTCAGATGTCATTACAGCCCTGTTTGTTTCCTCAGCCCCTACATGGCACTTTCTCAAACATAAAGGTGCACTAAGTGATAATCATTAAATCAATGAACCGCACAATAACTTTTCTGGCAATAATAATTTCTATTTGCATGCTTGTTTGCTTTCCACGTCTCTCTCGCTCTCTCTACCATAGAGATTGAATGTCTAAAGGCTTCCATCTCTCACCATGGATCTATTAAAATAACTGAATCCTCTTGTTTCCTTAGCGTAATGACACCATAGATCCATGGTACAGACAGATTATTTCTGCAACACCATCTCAGTGTTGCTTCAACGAGCACCTAAGCACCATGCATCTATGTTGAGCATGCATTTGGTCAGCTCAAGGGGAGATGGAGAACTCAGATAAAGAGGAATGACTCAAAAACAAGCAACCTAAAATACACCTAAAATATTGTCACAGCATGTAACTTCTGTGAGAACCTCAACCTGCAATGCAACTCTCCACCACACACAGAAACATTTGAGCAGCTACAAGGAAAAAAACAGCTCCATCCAGCATAACATGGAAATCAATGGAGAAGACATCCCCTTGGCTTTAAAGGTGTTTATTAAATCAGACAAACAACAAAACTGAAAGATCCAGCCAAAAGTAGGGTTGTCCTGCTCGGACAACAAAATCAGCGCCGATCACGTGACTCGGACGTTATGTTCCGATCAGGTATTGGATAAATAATAATATATATATATTACATACAACTCATTTTAAAGTCAAGGTAATGCCTCTCCATATCCATGCGACTCCTCTCTAGTTATTTTTTCCATTCTAGCTTTTCCCTTTCTAAACACACATGGTCCAAAGAGCCCCTCACCTGTTCAGCTCAGAGCACAACAGTTCTCCTCTGGTAAAGTTATAGAACTCGTGGTTGCCCCACACATGGTGCACCTCCACGGGGCTGGAGCCGAACTCTCTCAGCACCGTGTCCAGAGCGCTGCGGGAAGCGTGGTGCTGAGCGTTGAATCCGTCGATGATGTCCCCCAGCTGGAGCACAAACTCAGGCTGAACCGCTGCTCCGGACCAATGCTCCCGGGCATTCCGGAGCAGTTGCAGGCTATTGCGGTAATAGCGCTTCCGTGTGCGGGCGAAGTTAAAGCCGTCGTCCAGATCGGCGTACTGGATGTCAGCGATCACGCCGAAGGTAAAAAGGGGATCGACCGACATGTCTGTCGCGATGGAGGCGGGGAGGGAGCAGAGCCTCACCCGGGTGAAGTGAAGAAGAAGCCGGTTACCTGTGCTTACATGACGGAGACACGCCACGGTTCGACTTGGGACAGTCGGGTCACCAAAGTGTGGGACCGGATGTGAGGCTACGGATCAGGCAGGGCGACGCAATAACTTCCAGTGTTACTTCAAAATAAAGCCGAGTGGTGAACATAAAAGTAAAATAAAGAAATAAATAATAGATATAAGTAAATACATAAAATTAAGTGTGTTAAAACCTAAAATAACTTATGTCTGCTAACATACTTCTTATTTTACTAGATTTAAAGATCCTATTTTACAAGAAATTTGAAACTATGTTATTACACACACACAAAAAAAAAAAAAAAAATGTGTTTCTCACCTTCCACGGTGGTAGGTCTCTCTCACCCTCATTCAGCTCGGGTCCTCTACCAGAGGCCTGGGAGCTTGAGAGTTCTGCGCAGTATCTTTGCTGTTCCCAGTACTGCACTTTTCTGGACTGAGGTGTCCATTGTTTTTCCCAGTATCTGTCGTAGCCTCTTACACTTTGGGGGTTACAGCCCCGAGTGCTCCGATCACCACAGGCACCACTGATGCCTTTACTTTCCAGGCTGTCTCCAGCTCCTCCTTGAGCCCCTGGTATTTCTCTAGTTTCTCGTGTTCCTTTTTCCTGATATTACCATCACTTAGTATTGCGATGTCCACCACCATGGCTCTGCACTGTTTCTTCTCCACCACCACTATGTCTGGTTGGTCCATCACCATCCTGTCAGTCTGTATCTGGAAGTCCCACAGGATCTTGGCTCGGTCGTTCTCCACAACCTTTGGAGGTGTTTCCCACCTTGATCCTGGGGTCTCCAGCCCGTACTCTGCACAGATGTTTCTGTACACTATGCCCGCCACTTGGTTATGTCGCTCCATGTATGCTTTCCCTGCAGCATCTTACACCTGCAGTTCTGTGCTGGACTGTCTCAGGAGCCTCTTTGCACAGTCTACACCGTGGGTCTTGTCTGGTGTGGTAGATCTAGACCTCTATTGCTCGAGTGCCCAGGGCCTGTTCCTGAGCAGCCAGGATGAGCCTCTGTGCTGTCCTTCAGACCAGCCCTCTCAAGCCATTGGTAGGATTTCTTGATATCAGCCACTTCAGTTATGTTCCGGTGGTATGTTCCATGTAGGGGCTTGTCCTGTCATGATCGTTCCTCCAGCACCTCTTCCTCTGGACTCCACTGTCTGAGACATTCTCTGAGCACCTCATCTGTCGGAGCCTTGTCCTTGATGTTCTCAAGGAGCTTGGATGTTTCATCCTGGACAGTGGTTCCCACACTCACTAGTCCTCGGCCTCCTTCCTTCCGGCTTGTGTACAGTCTCAGGGTGCTGGATTTGGGATGGAACCCTCCATGCATGGTCAGGAGCTTTCGTGTCTTAACATCTGTGGTCTGTATCTCCTCCTTTGGCCAGCTTACGATTCCTGCAGGGTATCTGATCACTGGCAGGGCGTAGCTGTTGATTGTCTGCGCCTTGTTCTTGCCATTGAGCTGCTTCTTAGGACTTGTCTCACTCTTTGCAGGTATTTGGCCGTAGCCACTTTCCTTGTTGCCTCTTCGAGGAGCCATTTGCTTGTGGGATACCAAGGTACTTGTAACTGTCCTCAACATCTGCTATTGTGTATGTATATATATATATATATATATATATATATATATATATATATATATATATATATATATATATATATATACACACACACACGTGCATAGATGTGCATACCCTATTGTTTAAAAAAATAATAATAATAATATAATGAAAACTAGAAAAGCACTCAGAGAGCGCAGACCTCCGACAAGGACTACAGTCCCCCTCATATTAATTGTGTTTTCCATAAATATTTGTCTCATATCTTTCAATTTGGAATATGAAAGAGGATCCGATTGTCCATCCCTGAGTCAAATTTCATGGGGTTTGGTCAATAATTAATCGAGATATTGAGAAACAAAATATTTGGCCCCATTTACCACAATGTTAACTAAAATTTCAAAGTGATCCAGAATCCAGGATTTCTTCCAGATCACCCCCAAAATGAAATCAGTTCTTCCTTTTCACATTTCCTACAAATCCTGAAAATTTCATCAAAATCGGTCCATAACTTTTTGAGTTATGTTGCTAACAGACAAACAAACAAACAGACAAACGCCGGCAAAAACATAACCTCCTTGGCGGAGGTAAAAATATGAGTATATGTGAAAAATATAAAACAAAAATGGTCATACACATAGAATTTATGAAAAACAAGACAGATCAATGTCCTCATTCAGACCCAGATGTTCACATGCTCCAGAAATGACTGAATCCAGAAAGCTTCTCTTTGATTTAATTTCTGAAGTCTATCTCCACCTCTTGCCAGTTGTTTCACATGTTCAATACCTTCAGTGCAAGGCAGAGTGTCATTGCTATTATGATTTTCACAAAAATGGTGAGCCATTGGGTAGTTCTGGTTCTTAACCCTAAGAGCATATTTATGCTTGGCTAAGTGATCTTTCATGCACCTTTTAGTGTGGCCAATATAGAAAAAATGTCTGGACAAGGGCAAGACAGATGATATATAAAGTGAGTAGTATTACAATTAATGAAATAATTGTGTGTGAATTATCTACTATTGTGTACAACCATGGATGTTTTAATTTGAAGGACATTTGGACAATGAGGACAGTTCAAACACTTAAATGAGCCCATAGGTTTTTGTAGCCATGTGCTTTTATTTTCTGGAGGAAGATAAGAGTTCATTAATCTGTCTCGGAGATTTGGAGCATGTGTAAAAGAAAATAAAGGATGTTCAGGAAAAACTTTGCTAAATACAGGGTTCCTTAGAAGTATAGACCAATTGTCTTGGGTTCCCTGTGAACCTTAGGCAACACATAGAAGGCTGCCAGAACCAGGTGTTCAACTGTTAAAAAAACAAATTCATTGTCATTAATAATTCTCATATCCAGTGCTTCCTTTAAGCATATGTCAAATTGTTTTTTCATAAATGACAATGGATTGGTAAAGAGTCTTTCATAATGTCTCATGTTGAGCTGTCAATGAGCCTCCTGTACATATTTGTCTTTAGATAAAGTTACCACAGTGCCACCCTTATTTGCTAGACGAATAATTAGGCCCGAGCCCCGACAGGGCGTAGGGCCTATTGCTTCCGCTCAGCGGAGCAAATGGGAAGGGACGTGCGCATGTCCGAATGCGACAAGACGACATGCAACTATGTCCACGGTCGCCCCCGGCACGAACAGCAGTATCCCAGTAACCCACGCCCAAGGCCTGGCTCATATTTACTACTGCTAAAATGAATGGAAGTCAATGGAAGGCGATGGGTGACCTCGACGAGATGGCGAATGACGAGCGCGTCAGTGCCCGTCACTCACCAATGACCCCACGGTGACGTGGGGAAGGTCGAGAGCTTTCAAAAAACGTATAATATGTTGTTCTAAAGTTTTCGGATATATTGTTTTTTTGCTCGAATTATTTATTTTTTTTTTATTATTATTATTATGCACTTTAAACCCTAATTTGACCCCTAAAACACGTTCAAAAACTCACCAAACTTTGCCCAAAATTCAGAAGTGGCGAAAAATTCGATAAAATATACGTTTCGTGCACGGGCATAAAAAAATGGCGACACAGCGCCACCTGGAAAATTCAAGAATTTGGGGTCTATGGGAGATGTCCCGGTCAACTTTGTTGTAGAGCCACGAAATTCGGTACACACATTTGTCATGTGAAGACAAACAAAAAATATTATAATGGCCACGCCCCCTGACAAACCAGAAGGCGGCCATCTTGGATTGAAGTTTGAGTCCGTGTTTTCGCTGTCATTGCGTTTGAACAAACTCCTCTGAAGGCGCTTCACCCACAGGGCTGAAAATCACCGTACATCATCTAGACAAGTGGAACATCTAAAATTAGCTGATTTTTTTTGATAACTGTCACGGTTTTCGTGCGGCGAAGCAGCAAATTTTGGTAAAAATTTCGCCTAATTTCAAGGTGACATTATTTGTTCCTGTTCACACAGACTTAGTCCGATTGTGCTGAAATTTAAATCACTAATGTGTGATCTCAGTCTGAATATAATACACTATAAACCATATGAAAAGTGAACACTATAGCGCCCCCTACCATAGACATGAAACGTCAACATAGTCAGATCTGCACCAAATTTGGGAATTAAATTCTATGCATGATTACGAGCAAAAAATTATATTATGGACATGATACCATTTTCACTGTTGGCCAGCAGGGGTGCAAAGACTCAAAAATTTGGCTCCTATGGGATACGTCCCGGTCAACTTTGTCATAGAGCCATGAAATTCGCTACATATATTTGTCATGTCAAGCCAAACAAAAAATTGTATTATGGCCACGTCCCCTGACAAACCAGAAGGCGGCCATCTTGGATTGAAGTTTCAGTCCGCATTTTCGTTCACATTGCGTTTAAACGAACTCCTCTGAAGGTGCTTCACCCACAGGACTGAAAATCACTGTACATCATCTAGAGAAGTGGAACATCTAAAGTTAGCAGATTTTTTTTGATAACTGTCACGGTTTACGTGTGGCGAAGCTGCAAAATTTGGTCAAAGTTTTGGCGAATTTCAAGGTGACATTATTTGCTCCTGTTCCCACAGACTTAGTCCGATCGTGTTGAAATTTGAATCACTAATGTGTGATCTCAGTCTGAATATAATACACTATAAAACATATGAAAAAACACTATAGCGCCCCCTAGCATAGACATGAAACATCAACATTGTCGGATCTGCACCAAATTTGGGAATTAAATTCTATTAATGACTAGAAGAAAAAACATATATTGCTGACATGGGAATTTTTCAAGGTTGGCCAGTAGGGGGTGCAAAGAACATCTAAAGGCGCACTATGTCATTTTGCCATTTGCAGGCACAGAGTTTGTGGACACGGCGTTTACGGTATGGTGTTGGCGGGGCACAGTATTTGCGGGCACGGCGTTCGCGGGCGCGGTGGGCGAGGGCCGTTCGACGCTGCTTGCAGCTTTAATTATATCTGTATTCTCAGAAAGTTCATTTAGGACTTTGCGCTCCTT